GGCCATCTGAGTGGAAGCACACACCTGAAAGCGTGGACAAAGATGGCTTTCAGAAGCTGGGAACCAGCACAAAAACAAACAGAACAAAAACGGAAGGATCAAGAGTTCACACTCGGCCTGAGTTCTGTAAGACCCTATCTCAAAATAACTAAATAAATGAATAAATACATACATCTGTGTAATAACACATGCCTGCAATCCCAGAACTTATCAGAAGGCAGAAAGTTCATAGCAAATCCTAGGCCAGCCTGAGCTACACAGAAAGGTCAAAATAAAGTGTAGAGAAAACTCTGCCTGTACAGACTGTATGTTCTTTCATTAGTCCCTTGATGACACAGCTAACAGTATATTACACGCCATTTCATGGTACTAGGTGCCACAAGCAATCTAGATACCTGAAAGATGTCGCCTGGTTTTTCACAAATAACACACCATTTATAGAAGACACTTGGCCAGTATGAGACTCTGGTCAAGTGAGAAGCTAGGAACCAAGGCCTCAGGGATACTGAGGAGGACTGTCTGCTGCCAAGAGATTTAACATAAAGAACAGTCTTTACCCACTTCCCCCCCAGAAGTAGGGGTGGAGAGGGGGCACTAGGCAAGCCACACCCTGCTGTGGGCTGTGCGCCCCAAGGTAACCACACCCAGGTGCTGACCTTGTAGACGTGCCTCCAGTTCTTGCCGTGGTCATTGAGCCGCTTCCAGATCATGCTCATGATCTCAGAGAAGGCCACAACATTGTAGGTGAGGTCAGCAATTTCTGACATGAGGGAGCTGGATGGGCCCCAGGGATCATTGCTTGTGGCTTCCCGGACCTTGATCTCAGCCTCTGAGTAGTTGTGGACGATATTCTTCATCTGACGCCGAAGCGATGAGGTCGACATTTTGCCCAGTGGTGGTAGTGTCAAGGGGCACCAGGCCCCTGGGGCATGGAGAGATGAGGCGACTCACAGAGGGAGACCGCAATGGATGCTGGTAGATCACCACATCTGAGGGGGGAGAAAATCTTTGGAAACACAAAGGAGACATGGGCTAACCAGCACCAAGCTGTCCCTGAGCCTCCCACTCTAGAGGGGAAGGAGAGTGGCTAAGTGGCTGAGCAGACTCTCCCCACTAACCTCTATCTTATAGTTAGCCCATCCTTCTTTCGGTTCCTCAAACAAGCCTAGCTTCTTCCTGCCTGGGGCCCGATCAGCTGAGGCAGAACAGCAGGGGAGGCGAGACACCCTGAGCCCATGCCCCAGTTTAGCTGAACAGGACAGGTCTCAAACTGTGGGCCACAGTTTCCTCCTGTACAAAATCATGTTCTGGGTGGTAAAAGGTCCTACTAACAGGTTTCAGTAAAGGCTGGCCAGCTCTCAGGGGGCCCCTGTCCTGCTCACAAATTCTCCTCCTTCCTCACAGCCCCAGGGCTCTGCTGAAACTTCCCAGATGAAAATCAAGTATCATTATCACTGTTCCCAACTGCATTCTTATGAGTGGATTCCTGTGATTTTAAAACTATCTGTCTGGTTCTGAAACTATGGTGACCTAAGACCCTTGGTGGTGGTAATGTTATGTGTTAGTATATGGTTTTTCCCTACAAAGAAGCTGGCCAAGGAAAAAAAACATTCAATAAACAGTACAGGAAGGAAATGGAGAAAGAGGGAAGCAAAGCCCTCTAGGACAGGAGTCATGACCGAAGAGGTCAGTGATGGAATTAAAGAAATGGTAGGGAGCTAAAGGAGGTGTCCCAGGGCCATGGGAGGCAGGAGAAAGCCCAGGGACTAGATGTCCCAAGGGCAGGGAGGGAAGCGCAAGGCTCAAGGGAGGAGAGATAAGGAATGTGCACTAAGTGTGCCAGGAGGCGCACATTATCTCATTTAACACTGGACGCAGACAGTGGCCTCAGGAAAGTTAAGTAACTTGGACAAGGTTAGATAATAAATGCCAAATACTCAAATATGAAACAAACCCATTTTACATCTACAAATTCATATGGGGGGGGTTGACACAGTATCTCTTTACACAGCCCTGGCTGTCCTGGAACTCAACATGTAGACCAGGCTGGCTGGAACTCACAGAGATCAGTCTGATCCACCTGCCCCTCCCTCCCAAGTGCTGACATTAAAGGTGTGTACCATTAAAAGATTGTGTGTCCTATGCTTTGAAATTAACCTAAAGAAATCAAGCTGCTTTGTGCCCAGCTGCTGAGAAGGCTGGAGGACAGGAACCGAGCAAATGAGGGCAATGCTAACAAGCACCTCCACAACCCCTACATCCTTCTAGGCACCCATTAAGTGCTTTACACCATCAACTTAATCATTACAAATCCATGACTCACAGCCACGTTACACAGGCGGGAACATGGGCGCATTAAGGCCTTGCCCAGGGACACACACCTCACAACTGGAGCAGCCTGGGTCCAGAGTAGGCTCCGATCAGTCTATGCCTCTCCAACAAGCCATGAAGGGAGTTTTACTGAGCCCTACCATGATCCAACCTGAAGGAAGACACGGGTGAATGGGAGAGGCTGCTCTCTACCTTGAACTCAGGCCAGAGAGCAGAGCACCTGCAAACAGGCCTAACTAGGCAAAAAAGAAAAGGGGGGGGGGTGGCTGGGAACCCAGACAGGCCCACATGGACAACAATAAAACAAACATGAGACAAACATGGAAGAGAGAGTGACAAGCAAGGAGGCACACAGAAACTCAAGCAAAAAGAAAGCAACAGCAAGGCAGAAGAGCAGAAAGACAAGAACCCTGAAACAAAACACACACACACACACCACAGGGTTCGGAACTAAGACAAAATAAATAATAAATAAGTGCCCAAGATATAATTAAAAATAACAAAATTTACATGCAAATCTCAGTCACATAAGCAACCAGCAAAACAAGACTTGTGACTCAGTTCACTCAAATGTGTAACCAATGGAGGGATGCTACCTGGCAGGCTTGCTGATTAAGATGGATATATAAAAGGCCTTGTTCTGTGCCTCACAAATAGTCAGTGCTTGGTACCCCTGCCTGCTATTATTATCAGAAAAAAAAAAATTTCAAAAGGGTGGCATCTGAAGGTGCACTATCCTAACACCAACCTACTTTAAGCATGTTGGGGGGGGGGGGGCATACTAGACCTCACAGATGCTGCTGAGAATGAGGCAGTTTTCCACATTTAATTAGTTTAGAAATGTTTATTAAACTGTGCAAACAATACAACGAAATCCTCCCAAAGGGAATTCAAATAACACTAAGCAAAACAAGATCTCTAATAATAACCAGAGCGCCTGGTAATCAAACACTTAACTCCTGGCCAGACACTGTTAGTCACCTTACCAGCACCACCTCAATTAATTCGCAGAAACCCTGTGGTGCAAGAACTCTGAATGCTTCCATTGACAAGATTAGGAAACTGGGGTCTGTAGACCGCGACAAGCAGCAGGAGGTCTGGATTCCAGAGTCAGAGCTCCTACCACACCACCAGAACCACCAGAGACTCAAAGACCTGGAGAAGGAGGCGCATCCTCAACCAAAGCAAAAGGTTCCTGGAAAGGAACTTAGGGCCTGGGGACGATAGCAACGGAGACAAAAATGAAACACGAAGAGAAATATGCACCGGAGGGAGACAGGTGTCGGAAAATAAAGACAGAAACCCAGAAAAGACAGGAAGGGTAACCTGACAGGAACACGGAGCGATCCAGGACACAAACACACGGCACTCGGATCTCCAAACCCTTTTGTATAAACACCGAAACACAGAGGCAGGGCAACACAAGCAACAGGGCCGTGCGAATAAGGGACACTGACAACCACAGAAAAGACACACACCGGCAGGCAAACCCGACCCGGGCACAGCAGTAAAAAAGCAGCCAAGCCATCAGCGGCTGGAACACCGGCTCCGAGGCTGGCTGAACTTGCGCGTGCCACGGCCCAGGCCAGGAAACTGGACTCGCAGCGACGGAGGCCAGCATTGTGCCCCTCTCTCACCTCGGCCCACTCACACCGGGCTCCCGGGGGTCATGACGGTCAGCCCCCTGCCCCCGCTCGGCCTCGGTGTCACGGGGCGCGCGCCGGGCTGCGGGAGGCAGAAGTGCGCACGAGCGCACGCACAGACGCAAGGACGCACA